ATTGCAAGTTGTTCATTAAACACAGTGATCATTGAACATTGAAGTATATATATTTACAGAATATTAATTTAAAATACATTAAAAACAAAGGTAATTGATACTCAAAAACTCATCACTTTCTAATTATTCTAATTATTTTGTTATCATGCCCTTAGGGAAGTAGAGAGGCAGGAGTGTGTCTGAGCAACTCCATGCTCAGGGCTGCCATTTTGGTATCTTGTAACTGGACATGTTGGGAATATATGCCTTGGAAATTGCTGAATGCTACAAATTAGGGCCAAATTTACTCTTTGACTCACAGACTTGAGAAAGTGATGGAGAAAATGTTAAAAACACAAATTAAATTACGCCTGGGGGCGCCTGGGTGGCTCAGTGGGTTAAAGCCTCTGCCTTCAGCTCAGGTCACGGTCCCAGGGTCCTGGGATCAAGCCCTGCAAGGGCTCTCTGCTCAGCGGGGAGCCTGCTTCCTCCTCTCTCTCTCTCTGCCTGCCCCTCTGCCTACTTGTGATCTCTCTCTCTCTCTCTTTCTCTCTTTCTGTGTCAAATAAATAAATAAATAAATAAATAAAACAAAAAAACCCCCACAAATTAAACTTAAAAGTGGGCCTTCTCTGCGACTGTTACACCACGAATAGCACAAAAAACTGAACTATTTTTGGTTTTCACAAACTATCACCCAGTTCAGCGAAGAAGCTCATCACGTGCTCAACAAACGAGCAAACTTCCAACATACGATTTCACTGTTTTCCTTTCTTACTTTCTTACTTCTTAACATAATTGAAAATATCAACTAGCATTCATGTTGGACTCACGCTCAGCTGGTTGGGGGGACATTAGCCAACATACCTCTGCCTCCCACCTCCCACTGAGCCTCAGCCTTGGCCCTTGCTCCAGCCCTGGGGGTGGGGGTATCACAGAAAACCATAGGAGAGACAGTCCCCACCCTGAGTTCTGCACACCGATCATCCTAAGGGAATGGCTCCTGCCAACTTGTGCTTGTGTAATGATTTTCCCCATGGGAAAATGAGGATGCAAGGGGCATGCCATGCCCACCATCAGCAGGGGGGGGACCTTGAAGATCAGCTCAGGAAGGCTCATTAGATAGCTATTCTTCCCTTGCATACAATATCATGCTGCATTTGACGTTCGTAAATAGGACTCTAAGACAATACAAGATCTGGATAATCAAAGAATAGTGGAAGCCAATTCAACCGTTCTAATGAAAACACATTTTAGAAAGAGGCTTTGAGCAAGTGTTGGAACAAATAAAACCCTTTCTGCTTAAGTTCGAACATTCTCTTAATTGAGATTTCTGTGAATTTGACTTCCTTGTTACACAATGCCAAGGACACATACTTTGCGGGGGGTGGAGGTGGCAAGAAAAGGATGGCAATAAAAAAGAGGAAATAAAACATAATGTGGCATTACTTATGTTTATTAGAAAATCACTCTCTTTATAGAGTGAATCTTCTAGTTAAAAGAAGAATATTCTTTACAATGCCCAGGTAGTTCAGTTAGTTAAGCCTCTGCCTTTGGCTCAGGTCATGATCCCTGGGTCCTGGGATCGAGTCCCACTCCTTGCTCAGTGGGGAATCTTCTCCCACTGCCTGCCGCTCCCCCTGCTTGTAGTCTCTCTCTCTCTGACAAATAAATAAATAAAATCTGAAGAAAAAAAAAAAGAAAAAGACTGTTCTTTAAGAACTTAGCAGAGACTGCTGGCTATTCCCAAATTTCCATGCCCCCTTCTTTCTTTATCAATGGGACTCATTGACTTTTAGCTGGCCACCTGATCCCCTAGTCCCCTAGCACTGCATTTCCCCATCTCCTTTGGCACTAAGTATGGCCAATGGACTAGGTTGTGACCAATGGACTAGTTTATGGCCAGTGAGATCCGATTGTAAGGGGTGTGTGCAGCTTTGAGGGTTGAGTCCTTAAAGGGGAAAGACAGGCCTCCACTACCTCTGTCCCCATTCCGCTGCCTAGACTAGCGCCGTAGTGGGAAGTGGAAGGCTATTTTAGAGTATGAGGTAGAGACTTGGTGTTAAGAATAGCAGAACACTAATGATGTACTACTATATCCTGGCTAACTGAAAATAATAATAAAAATAAATTTAAAAAATAAATTAAAAAAAAAAAAAGAGTAGCAGAGGAATGGAAAGGGAGCCTGGGTCCCAAAACCATGGAGACATCATAACATCCTCAGATGAGCTTCTCAGACTTTAACACAACAGGGGAGTTAGCTTCTACCTTCTTTAGGCCACTGTTGTTTGGCCTTTGTTACAGCAGCTGGCTTCTGTATTCTGAGTAATATAATTACCAACATGTTAGAACATGTTAACCATTTGTTTTTAGTATTTTAGGGATAATATTCTTTCTAAACATGTTACAATTTTCTGAGCTCATGAAACAGAGCAGACAGAACATAATTTACTCTTTTTTGGAAAGACTAAATGGGAAAGCATAATTACTATTCTGAACAATAGTACAAAGAGATTGCCAAGGTCTAGGGGGCTGCTGGTCCATCAGTAAGTGGCCTCAGGCTGTGGGACTTGGTTCATTCATACCTAATTCCTGCCATTTTTCTGACTCCCCTTGCTATCAGGAGTCAAATAAGAAAATACACACAATATTTTGGCCCAGATCCTCAAACACAGAAGTGGTCAATGAATGTTCTATGACTGTTATTGTTATTATCGTTGTTGTTGTTGTTGTTGCTAGTATTATTAATACAATTATGTAGAGGGAACAGACAGCTATTTTCAAAACTCAACACTTTTTTCTTCCCGCTTCAATCATAATCCCAACCATAAAGGCACAGGAGCTGGAAATCCCACTGTTCGGTGACATTATAATCAGCCGCATCTACAGAATGGAAGCTAGAGTTTCTCCCTGATGTAGACTCTCTCTCTCTATCTCTTTAAAACGAGCTTAATGGTCTTTTTAGTCATGAGATATAAGGAAAATCTCTCTGTTGACCTTGAGTTGCCTATGAACTAAACCTATAGCAGAGGCTTCAAACTGAGATACAAATTCTGTTCTAGGTTGAAGAAGGCTGTTTTCGTGGCAGTCAGCGTATGGCTCTTCAAAGAAAATATGATGTGAAGAGGTTTCTGCTTCCTTCGACTGGGGTGAGAAGGGGGCGTAAGGCCATCACATGGTGTTCTCACAGCAGTGAGCATGACCTGGCAGTGAGGCCACTGGCCTGGGCCAAGAGACATGGGCAGATGGGCCCCGGGAGGAGGCATGACCTATGAACTCTGGGGCGCTGACATCTGACTACCGGTTGAATTCTTCCTTTTCTGCTTGTAATTCACTCATATTATTCTCAAGACCCAGAGAAGAGGTTAAATATCACACCCCGTGTTAGCTGTGCGTGGGTCTTCAACGGAGAGCCTTGTGCCCATATTTGGACCAGGGAGAGTTTCCACATGTGATTGACACAGAGGTGATGGGCAGTGCAGTGTGGTAGAACACCAGGCAAGAAGCAACAAATGGCCACCACCATAGACCTTGACATAGTCAGCACCACCAGGCATCCTCAGAATCTCCAGGGAAAGAGCCTTCTGAACACTCAAATACTGATTATTCTATTGTGACAATATTGTTAGCATAAATATACCATAATGATGCTATTATTGATATAACAATTGTTACTATTGTATGATATTGATCATGTTATTGTATTTTTTATTCTATATGATTAATAAAATACCATTTAGTTAAAACAAAAATTCTTATTATATAGAAATATCGAATTATATTAGAAATAGAAATATCTTATTTCGCTTGCTCAAGATTTCTTTTTTAACAACTTCTGTCTCCCCAACTGCATCTCAAATAGTTAAAATTGCCAAATTAGTGGCCATTTGGTAAATGAAATGAAACTCTACACTTTCCTTGCTGGTCTCCCCACGATTAAAATCTTTTCATTAATGGTAAAATGGGGCTTCTGGGTCTCAGAAATCGTCAGAATAAAACTGAAGAAACCGAACAGGTTGCCAAATTTATTTTGCCAAGTAAGGATATTTTTTGAATTACCAAATCCTGACAACATACGACATTTAATAAAATGCTTTTTAGAATCCCCAAGTTCCTGACCACGTATGACACTTAAATAAAATAAATTTTAACACCAAAACAGTAGGAAGCAGATATTTCAGAATAAAGGATGATCCTTTGGGCAGAACCATTTTAGCTTTATGAAGATTTTCACCTGGTTCTTATTTTTCTTGCGTCACCACAAGAGAGCCAGCCCTTCCAGCAGACGACACCTGGTTTGGAGCCATTCCCGAACACCAAACCCACTGCATGGGGAGCTGTCTGGGAGCTGCAGGCCTGAGATAATTCCCACACATTTCCCCAAATATGTGGAAGGTGGACTCGAGCAAGAGCTGGGACCTGTTGCCCCTGTGAGACGTGGGCATGAGGCCTGTCTTCCGTGTTGTAAGACCCAGACTGTCAGCTAACCACACCGAAAAGCTTTCTTCCTGCCCCGTGTTAGGAGCCCTGAAAACTGCCCTTTTTAGGACACAGGACAATTGCCAAGTCGGGCTCATTCCATGGACTGAATTACCATTTTTCCTGGCCCCAGAAATGCTATGTCTGCTGGTAATTTTCATTCCTGGGTCACAGCTCCCAGGGGAGTAGGAGAAAGGCCAACTAGGAGAGAGGAATGTTCAGTGTGTTTCCTCAGATCCTGGATCTGCTTCCTGGCTCCATCAACTCTCTGTTGATAGAAGGCTGCCCTGCTCCAGGCTTCCAGAAGCAACTCCCACACCTCAGCAATGGCGCAGGTAGCCGAGCTGGGAAGACCCGCCCTGTGCCTGCTTCAGAGACACAGTTCTAAAGCTGACGTGCCCATGAGAAAAAGGAGGCTCTCTTTGCTAGAAAAATAACCAGTGACAGAAGACTTTACTTCAGGAGATGGCTGAGTAAAAGCCTATTTTACTAAAGCCCGTGATCCCCAAATAACTCGGAGTCACCTTCCCCACCCCACCTACCATTTTTATTTTCCAGCAGTTGGAGGAACTGCAGAGAACCAAAGGGATAAAGGTTGAATTCATTACCAATTCTTCCGGAAGCTCTGTCTTTCTGCTGACCTGAAATAATTTCCATACATTTTCCTAAATATATGGGAGTTAATTGCCAATTTGCATTTTGGTTCAAGTATTCAGGTCTCAAGATGGAAACATAAGCTCTTTATTTCAAGAAAAATAACTGAAGGGAAACTTCTGAAGCTTGTTTTCTAAATGCCCAAAAGGCTCATGGAGAACAGACTCAATAGTCTTTCTTCTCTAGAAGCCTCTTCAGAAACCTCTTGGAGGAGAAGCTCTCCCTCCTCCCAGTTCAGATTGCTTTATGTGATTGCAATTACATCAGAGAATTTCTTTTCCATCCCCCCTGCCACTCCAAACTGGTAAGTCTTCAAAGGGTCACAGGATTTGAATTCTGCCTGCTATGCCTCCTTGGAGCCAAACTTGACATCAGCACTTTTTATAAGCAGGAATCTATGAATTAACACCCTGAATTTTCCTGAGGAGTCCCCTTGTTGGGCCTCTGTTTGGGAAAACGCTCCTGGGTCCTTTGACATTAGCCTGCCCTTAGTATTAATTTAAATGTCTCAGGAACGTCATCTGCTGCTACTAAAATAAGTGACGAAGAAGTTCTGGAAAGTGGCTTCGAGCGCCGCCCTAGCAGGCACGGTTAGGGGAAAACTCGGTGCCTGAAACGCTAATTTAGATGCGAGCCTTCATATTGCGTGTTTAGCTCTGACCCCAAAATCTGCTCGCCTCACAGCTTTCCCCATCTGGTGCAATTTGCTTTCTCACTTGTAAAAACACACACGACGGGGACAGCATGCATTGTGGGCCGCGGCGTGACAATGAGGCCCTGTCCGTGACGCGCTTCCCTGAGAGAAACTTGTTTTGCGCCCGTTGTCCCCCAGCTCCCAGCCTTTCCTCACAGGGAGCAGCGGCCGCTCTGCCCAAGCCCCCAGTGCCCCAGCCCAACGTCCCTGAGGAGAAAGGAGATGATGGAGCCGTACCTTGTACCCAGGCTTCCGCCCTCTTTTCTTGGGGATCTTCACTGCTGGCAAAGCGCCAGCTGAAGCGGAATAAAGGTTATGAACCGCCATCTTCATAGGTGTTGAGTGAAGTGGGGGTCGGCCTCGCTTTCTCCCCGGGATCCTCTGGGACTGCATGTCTGCCGGTGCCAGTCTTACAGAAGGAAGTGACAAATCGCTCACAGGCAGAAGAGGTGCTAAGATTAGTCCAGACACAAAGCAAAACAAAAACAGAGGGGTTTGTTTGGTTTGCAAGGCAAGCATGTATCCAGTTTGGCGTTTGGAGCCTTACCTACCCTACCCTTCACTGGGGGGGGGGGGGGGCAAATACGAGAGAACCAGGCACCTCGAGGAGTTTTTACAGGGCTGTTGGGCTTCTGGTTTAATAATTTCCAGGAGAATGAATTTCCACAGAGCTGTGATGAAGTAGGGAGGATAGTAGGGGGGAGAGGACAATAGCTTCCCAGCTCCAGACACAACTGGAAGTGTCACCAGCATGAGACGACTTCATCAGTGTGTGTCTCAAGTTTCCCCAGTTAATTTAACTTTGAAGTAATAGAATAATAGTATTAAATAAATACAACCCTCCTCCCACATTCACTCCTGTCCCTTTGGCTGGGTTGTAAATGGTTGTGACCTTTATGTTTCCTGTGAAAGATATTTAACAATACAAATCAGTTGTATTAGTTCTGTCCCTTGGGGCGCCAGGGTGGCTCAGTCAGTTAAGCATCTAACTCTTGATTTCGGCATGGGTCATGATCTCAGGGCATGGAGCCCACTTAAGACTCGCTCTCTTACCTTGTGCCCCTCCCTGCCTCAATCTCTCTCTCTCCCTCTCTAAAAAAAAAAAAAAAAAAAATGTTATGTCCCTTGATCAAAATATGGAGAGAGATTAATATACAGAGATGTTCATTTTAACATGATTTAGAATTGCAAAAATAAGATGGATAGAGCCCCAATAATAAGCAACAGGGGAATAAAACAATCAACTAGTTAAAAGCCTTTAACAATACTATTTCTAGGGCCACCTAGGTGGCTCAGTCATTAAGCGTCTGCCTTCGGCTCAAGTGGTGATCCCAGGGTCCTGGGATAGAGCCCAACATTGGGCTTCCTGCTCAGTGGAGAGCCTGCTTCTCCCTCTTCTACTCCCCCTGCTGTGTTCCATCTCTCACTGTCTCTCTCTCTCTCACTCTGTCAAATAAATAAATAAAATCTTAAGAAAAAAAATACTATTTCAATAACATGAGGTTGAGTGAAAAAGCATCTCATAAATTACACATAAAAATTATCACCACTACACAAAAGTTTCTGTGGTAAAAAAGTGAAAGGAAACATGCTAAAATGCCACCAATGGCCAAGACAGTGGGACAGTGGGTAATTGTTCACTATGAACACATCCTTTCGCCCACACAGATACCCCACATACAATATTCATAGCATTAAAAATACTAATAATGAGGGGCACCTGGGTGGCTCAGTTGGTTAAGCAACTGCCTTTGGCTCAGGTCATGATCCTGGAGTCCCAGGATCTCAAACCGCATCAGACTCCCTGCTTATCAGGGAGTCTGCTTCTCCCTCTGACCCTCTGCCCTCTCATGCTTTCTCTCTCACTCCTTCTCTCTCTCTCAAGTAAATAAATAAAATCTTTTAAAAAAATACTAATAATGAGCTTCTTCAGGTAGAGATGCCTAAATCTTGCAGCAAAAGGTAGTCGATCGTCTCCAGCCCAGAGAACACAATGGTATCACGAGCTCAGGGGTCAGATTTCCTTGAACATTCAGGATTGTGACAAGTGGGACAGAACATTAGACTCTAATGCGGGAGGGATGTTAAGTGATAAAATTTATTTCTGAGCCCAAGTGGTAGCCAACAATGGAAATGAGAAGTTTTGCTCAAAATGCTACAGAAAGAGTTGGGAAAGGTGATAGGAACCATCCCTACCCTCCCTACCCTACCCTAGGCAACACTACAGGAACCACATTGCTTTGCACAAGAAGGAAAATATCGAATAGTGGATACTTGACATCTGAAAACATGACAGGGAAAATTGGGGGCATCTTTTACAAAAGTTCACTTTGTTAATTCTCTGAATAGTAACAGTATTCTCTCAATAATCTTGATCACTCTTGGAAATATCACACTTCGTACACAGAGTTTTAAAGCATGAATTTATTGTTAAATATTTCAGGTAGATAGACAAGCTGTTGGAGATGTCAATTTTCCCTGTTTTTTATGTAAGAAAAATATCACGTATCATTGATTCTAAGATGCATGCTTTATCACTCATTAACATCTCTGAAATCACATAAGAATTCCATAAGGAGCAATTTTTCTTTCTTGTGGTACATGAAACAGTGCTATGATCAAGGGCATCTTACAGTCAATGAATCATGATCAATGAAGATAAGCCCATCAACATGTGAACAGAGCTATCATTCCATTTCTAGACTTGGCGTCAGGACTCCACTAGTCCAAACCCTCATTTTCAAAAAAAAAAAAAGGGGGGGGGGCTTTGCAAAACATCGAAAACCCACGAACACTTATTTGTTACTATTTTTGCTGTGCAGAACTTGATCTGAGATTCTGAACTCTCATGATTACGATCACATCCCTGCTTCTGCAGGTTTAGTATTAGTACTATACTAATACTAATTAGTTGTAATTAGTATTATTAGCTATCTGGGAAATAAGATTTTTTTCTAGTCTAGGGCATGTTTCTCTAACTTTCTACTTTGCTGCTAGTGAGTCAGCACCGTATCTAACATGAAGATCAAAAGTCAGTAAGAGAAAACCCAGGACCAGAGTAAGGCATCGAATCTGTTTCTGGCAGGTGAAGGTTTGCCGTCCTTCCCTGGTGAATTGTGATTCTCTGCTAACCTAGATTCTCCCTCACAAAAGTCTTCTTGTTGAATAGGTTTTGGGGAGTAAAGGAAAGGTAACAAATTAATTAACATATTATCCTAGGAATTTGTATCACTCAAAATTATACTGAACTACCCCAAATTTCTCAGTGCGTTAGGAAAAAATATTTCCTAGAAAACTAGTCATCTTTTAAACTGGGCTTTTCTGTTGTTCTGCTTCTTTTTCTCTACTGTGAGGGAGGAACAGGACTGGGGCTACTTTCTACGTCACTTCCAGAGAAGTACATCTATCTTAGGGTATAAAGGAACTTTCCCAAAAACTAAATATGATTAATGAATTTCATGCTGGTGGAGCAGCAATGAGCTCTTATTGGTGCATCTGGAGCAGACAGTAATTGGGGGGACGTGAACATAGCTCTTTCATTGATCAAGAAGTTACTATTTTGCCATTCCTTCTCACACATCGATACAATTTTAATACAGAAGTAAGTAACAAGACAGAGACTTTTAAAAACTGAAGAGGTTATTTTAATTATGGGAGAATTCTCTGAAAGTCTCCTTGGAATAATTTTAAAGAGTTGGGGGAAAATGCTTACAAAGTGGTATTTTAATAACACACCCATGCACTTGGGAAATTGTGACAAATTGTGACAAAAGTTCAAGGTCCCCAAAAATCTCCCTTTCCTCCCTTTCCAAAACTAAGACACGAACTTCAAAAAAAAGTAATAACAAAGATTAATACTAAAAATAAGGAAGGATCCCAGTCTCGGAATACAGTAGAAAGAAGACATGGGATTTTTTTAGGGAGAACATAACCATGGAAGATAGACAATGACCGTTTATCACAAGTTTAATGAAAAGATCAAAACTAATAGAAGAGGAAAATAAGAAGAGGCTGTCTTCTTAGAAGCCTAACCAACCGTGTCTTAAGAGATTCTCTGTGTCTTAAGAAAAGTTCATTAAGAATGGACAACAGCAACAAATCCTAATGAAAATGATATACTCAAAAGCAAAGGAAAAAAATAAGCACTTCAGCAGAACAAATAGATCATTTATAATGGGGAAAATAATCAAGCTAGCTCTCTATAGCATCTTTAATCCAAAAATAATGGAGTCACCATAGTGACTATTTTTTTTCCAGTGTTTATAGTTGCCACAATTCCTTCCACCACAGGGCCTTTGCTTGTCCCTCTCCCTCTGCTCCTACCTCCACTCTTTCTCTCTCTCTGTCTCTAAAATAAATAAAATCTTAAAAATAAACTCCTTCAAATTATTAAAATAAGAATAAACACTGAAATAGAAAAAATGAACAAAAGACACAGATAATTCATAGAGAGAGAAAGGAAGCAAGGGGGGGGACAGAAGGGAAATAAATGGTCAATTATCAAAAGAAAAGACTCTAAACTTTACTGGTAACCTCCCCCAAAAGTATACTGATGTATCATTTATCGCTGATCGGATTGCTAAATGTGAGTAACCCAATCAATAGTTCAGGTTGGTGAGGGGTGGAAACTGGCTAACCTTTTGGGGGAACAATTGAAAATCACTTAAAAACTTTCACATGCACACTTCCTAATCCAGCTGTATTAGGATAAATCTGATAAGGCTTTATCCTAAGAAGATAATCTGAGATGAGCACCAAGATACATGACCAAGGATGTTCTTTGCACGTTGTTTGTAATAGTGAAATACTGAAATAATCAAAATGTCTCTTGAGACATTTTAGTTAAGTAAATTATTTCACATTCATAAAATGGATATTTTATGAATAAGATATTTCACATTCATAAGTTCTAAATTTAAATATGTGTATGTGTATATGTATACATATGCTCCTAGCATATGTAGTATGATTCTATTCCTATCTTCTTTATGTATATGGATATAGATAAATCTGCATGCATTAGGCACAGAAAGAGGTCTTGGAAAGATAATCACCAAAAGGCTGATTGTAGTTGTCTCTGGGCAGAAAGATATTGAAAGATGTTTTTGCTGTCTTTGTAACATTCTGCATCGTTTGAATTTTTAAAACCATAGGCAGAAAACACTATAAATAGAAAAATAAACAATGAATGAATAATTCTCATTGTCTGGAAGGTTTTCTGGTGTTTTTGTTGTTGTTGTTTTTCTTTTTGAAATCTGTGCTTCTTTAGATGGCCTTTTGTTTTCTTGTTTTCTCATGGTTTTGGTTCCTGAGCCATAGAACATCAGTGGCCACTGTTTTATTATTTTTTTAAGAGTTTATTTATTTATTTGAGAAAGAGTAAGAGAGCACAAGCAAGGGGAACAGAAGAGAGAGAAAGAGAAGCAAACTCCTGGCTGAGCAGGGAGCCTGACGTGGGGCTCGATCCAGAACCCTGAGATCATGACCCAAGCCAAAGGCAACCACTTAACCGACTGAGCCACTCAGACACATCAGTGGCTGCTGCTTTAACAACCTAACAAATTGTGACCAAAAAATAAAAATAAAAAAGGAGTTTATCACTGAAAATAATGGAAAAGTTTATTTCAGAGCTAACAAGAATGCTGTAAATAAGGGGCACCTGACCGGCTCATTCGGTAGTACATGCAGCCCTCGATGTCTGGTTGTGAGTTTGAACCCCTCACTGGGCGTAGAGATTACTTCATATGTCATAAGCAGATGGTAGACAGGGAGAGAGAACCAGCTCTCAAAAGACAAACAGCTCACTGCCTGCCCCCTCCTTGATTCCACCTCCCTCCTGCCCCTTCCACTGAGGGACCAGGTGGCAGTCAGGTTACTGCCCCTCCCCCCAATGATTTCCCTCATCTCCAAAGACCTTTAAAGACCTCAAATGCGGTCCAAATCATCCTTTCCACGGACTCATGAACTGATACAACCAACATGTACATCACTTGAGAACCCTCAAAATCCTGGAGGTGTTATAGGATACATCTGAATTTCTCTGCTTCCGACTGCAGACTTCAGCGAATACAGACAGCCTAGTTCAGGTCAGATTTGGAAGCCATCTTGGAACAAAGAGCTTTAGTGAACATAAAAGATTCTGTCCCTAGAACAGCCTCATCCTCAAGTCTATAAATCTTCAAGTTATAAACCTTTCAACAGTTGTCAAATCCTGGCTTGACATAGTAAATCAAGTGATTTACTCCTGGTTTCCTAAATCTCCCTCTTCTTATCAAAACAAGGCTTGGCTGGAAATGTTACAACTCAACCAAGAGAAACTGAAATCTGGCCCATGAACTTGGGAAGGGCATTTTACCTGTCAGCTTTGCAAATCCAAAACATATAAACCTAGATCCTAGCTAATGGGGCTTCATCAAGGGAAAAAACAGCCCCGTACACGCCCTCATCCCCACGGCTTCTCAGGCAGCCTAGGTGAGGCAGCCCCTCTACGTGAGGTCATTTCCAGGGAGAAGGATGTGCCTTGGCATCTCTCTAAAATTCAGCCATCCTTTGAGGTGGCCCAAACTCTACCAGCAATCGTTCCACTGCAATAGAAGGGTGAATAGTATAACATATAATGAATTTTTGTTGATTTTTTAAAATATGGGAGAGCTTTTCTGTAGGTATTTTATTCCATTCATTATATACTGATATGCCCTTGTCTCTACCTGTTGAAATAGACAAAGGTGAGTACAAAGAAACTGTAAATAAGCCAACTTGTCCTGGAAAAATAGGAACTGGTCCAGGAACAAAAGGGACGGGTTAGTCCCAGTTGTCCCACAGAATAACCAGGTAGAAAGCAGGTTCAACAGAATGTTCAAAGGTGATGAGTTTGTTAAATGTCTTAAGAGTAGTTGTGACGTACAGACTTGTTCCATCAACCCCTGGAAAACAAGCTTCTAGATATAGAAGGGAACTCCTTAGCACATAGAGGGAGACTTCAGTACATGGGTGTCTCCCAAATCTGCTGTAGGGAGTGGGGGGCGCTGAGAGGGATGCGGGGTGCTGGGGTGCAGTGGCATTGGGTGGAGTGGGGTGGGAGGCCTTCCTGTCCCCTGTAGGCAGCCATCTGCAGTGAGGGCCGACTCTAAAAGTCTATCAAATCCATTCCACCCTTGGCTGAACTTACAAAAGCCCCTCCCTTCCATCTCACTGGAACCTTCGCCCACATCCAGGAAGGGTGCAGCCGCCAAGGTGATCTAGAGCCAAGATTCGCATATTTAAGGGGAGGGAGGAAAGCTGCATCGAGCAAGAGCCCAGAATATACACAGGGATGTGGGGAAAACACCATTCCGATCTGCAGGATTTGGAAAAACTTTGGGGCATTTGAAACATGAGAGATGGGCACCCCAGAGGTATGAATAATTCACTGGCGGGTAGCTGTTCAGCTGGAGCCTGAATCTACCCATTTTCTGGGACCTGCCTGTCCCCTCAGTGGGCAGAAGAAGAGGGAGGCTGCTTTTAACTCCAACACCCCCCTCTGGGCCCATGGACTTGGGGTGGCTCCTCAGAAGGGGAACATGGGAGAGCACGGGAAAGCAGGGTCTTGGAGGGACTAGTCATCACCTCCTTGGTCCAGATGCCCATGTCTTTCCTTTAATCAAGTCCTGCACACTGACAGGCCTTCCCCCTTCAGGTGCCGTCCTTCCAGAAGACAGCGCTCTGGAGTTCCTGGGGGCTGGCCCTGGGCCTGTCTTCCTCAGCTCCATCCCTCACCCTGCCCCTGCAATTCTCTATGTGATGGGAGCTAATTGCCACCCCCCAGCGGTTTTCCAAGGCTTCATGACAGCTGGCTGCTGGCTGGATTGTCCAATGGAAGGCACTTGTCTGAGTTTGAAGGGTGGTGGTTGGCAGGGGTAAAATCAAGGGAATCTAACACCCTCTTGCTTTGCTCCACTGCTTCTCTGCCTGGAACCTCTCCCCCATGGTTCTGGCTCTGGCTGGGTAACCTAGTTTGCCTTCGGCAATAGCAGCCCTTCCCTCTGTCTCTCCAGCCCAGGGAGGGTGGCAACCACAGGGACTGGGGCTAATTGTCCGTTCTCCTGTTTTGGCTCTTCCGTCACCATTTCCCTGTAAATACTCAGTGTTTCCATTAAATACTCAGGCTTCTTTGAGAATTGACTCTCGTGTTTGACACACCTGGGGCCATGCCTACATGCAGACCTCCATGGGCTGTGAGAAGAAGCTGGGGGGAGGCAGGAGAGGGGATGCTCTCTGCCACTGCCGTGGTCAGCAGACTCGTGGCTATATAAGGTGAGAGCCAATGATCTTCAAGGTATAGGTTGAATTTTACACAGTCGCTTGTACAGCCACTATCACATGGAGGCTGAGGAAGACACATAAGTATATACACACAGAGGCAGGCATACACCCTTCCACATGCATCAGAAATCTCTGGAAAATTTTAATAATGGTAGGAGTCATCTCTCAGTGGTGGGGGTGGGGGAGGGCTGGGGTCCAGGAACTGGAGAGGGAAAGGGACTGTGCTCTGCATGCCGGTTTCTGGTTTCATATCTGGTGTGTATTCAAAAATAGAAACACAAACAAATAAACTCCATCTACAACCTCTTACTCTAGAGAAAGGAGAAAGTGTCCCTGTCACGTGCAGACCCTGATCAGCCCCTACCAGCTGCACCAGCAGGGAGGAGGTGGGAGGAGCCAGTGCTCCGACACGTGGGCATGGCCCTCTTCACAGGGCCACAGTTGTGTGCATTTGCACTGGGCACCGCAATACCCCATAACCCTGAAGACTTGACCGATCAGATCTGCAACCACTTGAATGGGTGTTCATAGGACATAAAGCATAGTATTGGGCACTGGTGGAGATGACTCCAGACTTAGAAGGCTGGTTTCCAGTCCTGGCTCTGCTCCTTATCAGCTGAGCGAAGGAGACGAGTCTCTCCACCTCTCTGGGTCCCTGCACAGGTTTAGATCGCTAACCTCCCTGTGGAGGGAAACTGACAGGTTCAATCAGTAAAGGGACAAGCCCTTGTTCAGTTGCTTACATAGACAGCAAAAGCAAGAGGAGTATCAGCTCCCCGGCACCCCTTGTTCCCACAGGACAACATAGAAACAAAAGGGGCGAGATGACTGCACTGGAAGAGGTACAGCCCCTGCAAAGCAGCCACCAGCACCACTCTTCCCACCAGGCTGCAGAGAAGCAGTCTTAGAGTCTGCAGCTGTGCTCTGAAGGAGAGCCAAGCGAGGGCCCGTATCAGCATCCTGGAGGCAATGAGAAATTGTCCTACAACATGTGTCCCAGGCAGGTGCGGTCATGGGCAGGTGATCTGGAAGCAGCTCCTCACCAGCCTCCTGTGCTGTCCTGCTCTGGGAGGGATTTTTCCTGGAGGTGCAGGGATTCTGCCAAGACTTAGATCAGCTGCAATCAAGCCTTGCCTGAGTGGCCTGTCTCTGAGGAACACGGTGGAGCCGGCCCGCTGCATTCCCCTCTGGCTTTGAGAAGCTTACCCCTTAGAAGGGGAGAAGAGACGGTTGAACGTGATCTGCCAGGAGGACAGCTCTGAAACAGTGCATATCCTCAGGGTGAGGACCCAAGAGCCCAGAACGTTCGGAGAGGAGGGGTCCTTTGGGCCTGAGGTTCTCGGGGCCGCAGGATGACGAAGGGGAAGCCAGAGTGTGGAGACTGCCGGCTCCTCTCCACCTCACCCTCACCAGGTCCTTGCAGCCTGGCACTCCCTGAGGGATCTTGTACGCCATCCTCCCCATCTGCTCCAGACCCTAGAAGATATCCAAGCAGAAGTGCTCCCCTGTGTGCAGCCCCTGAAGATTACCACACATTACTTACCCCACTCCAGAAGGCTTTCAAGGGCTTGAACTTGACAATGAAAGTGGCCTGCTTCCTATCGGAAGGAGAGGTAGAAGGAAGGAGAACTCAAGGTAAGTTAGTCATGAAGGTTCTCCTCAGACACCCCTACTTTGGTGCCTCCACTCACAGTTTTCTCCAAGGCTAGAGTCAGGAAAGTGGTGTTACCTGAGCTCTGCTCAGCTCTTCAAGAGAGCTCTATCTCTATCCTCTCTTCCAAAAGCAGCAACTTCTACCCAAAACGTGAAGCCTTTCCTCTTGGCCAGATGGAAAGGAATCCCCTTCAAAGACTTGTGTGCCTCAAGGAGGTGGCTTCCCAAAGGGTCCCTCCCCACTGCTCTGCCTGCAGTGAATGCTTCTGTTCTACAACCTCCCCTGTGGCTGTGACTGAATGATTTCTACCACAGCAACCTGCATCCCACTTATTCGTATACTTGTCTGTCTCTCCCAATATACTCGAGCTCCTTGAAGGAGACGCTGTCTTGATCAACATAATCTGCCTTTTCAGTGTCTGGAACATCTTAGGGACTTAACACGTGTTTATCAGATAAATGAAGAATGAATGAATGAATGATCAGCCACTCAACCTCTCTTCCCAGACTCCTCTCATTCCCCAGCACTGAGGCAGCAGGATCCAGCCCAGGGCACTTGCCTCCCCCAGGATCAGCCCACGGGCCACTTTCCAACGAGGCCACTCCAGCAAGACACAGGGCACCACATGCTACCAAGATAGACCTTCAGCTCCATCATCTCTATTAAGACAAACATTACTGTCCTTGGTGCACAGATGAGGCTCTGAGGCCCAGAAAAGTGGCATGAGATGGCTCATTAGTGGGCAGAACTCAGATTCCAGCCCTGGGCTCCTTGCCCAAATCCCTTCAGCTCCCTCCCAGGGTCAGCTCTGGGTAACGTATAAGGAGATGGCCATAGGGCTGGTTAGGGGGACAGGAGGGAAACCTGACCCTCAAGCCACACCTCCACGTCTTCCAGGACATCAAGAGAAGGCACTGATCCAAAGTGAAAGTGTAGGTGGGCGAGACAACCCAATTAACTTGCCCAGTCCACGATGACCAGATGGAGAGAAGAGCACATTTACTGAATCAGCACCTGCGACATAGATACTGACCCACGTATTTCTAAGGGCTTGTTAAAGAGTAGTCGCAGGTAAAGGAGGGCACTGCTTGCTGGAAGATTCTTGTCTCTACTACGAGCCAGAGCTAGAGCCAGCGGCTTTCTCCGAACTCAGGTCCTACAGTGGAAGGAAAGGCACTTTTTAGAGCAGCTACAAATATTTCTTTCTTTCTCTCTCTCTCTCCTTTTTTTTTTGCAAACCACCATTTCCTGTTTTGTTCTCTATTTATACTTTACATTTAGTTTTGAGAAAGCACTGGTGGTTTGGTGTTTTGGTTGTTTCTAGTTCGGTCTTTATCTACAAAGCCGACTCTCTTTTTGAAATAACTTTCTGTAATGTAAACCAACAGTAGACCTAGATTCTTTTCAAAGACTTTGCTAAGAAAAATTCTTCTTCAAGCTTTAACGATAAAACAGGAAGATTCAAACAGCACAAGTTTCATCTTTCCAAGTCAATGCCTCAGGGAACTGGAATCCATTCACCAGCCTTGGGGATTAGTGAATTCCCCAGGGCTTCTTGGCGCAGTCATCTTTCCAAGCTCAAACATTTTCACACAGATTTCCAGGCACGAGGTCGTTCATACTGAAGCACAGAAACATGTAACTGTAATATCTTCATTGGGATACTCTCTGCAAAATTTTGATGTTTTGCAGAGACCCTAGACCCAGGGTTAGTGCCACGTGATGAGTGCAGCGACTTAGCATTTGCCCTCGAAGAACACACCGTCTAAGAACATTGCGCGCTCTGGCCCCACGGATGCAAGGTACAGTGGTCAGCAGAGAACAAACATGAAAACAACCCCGGAACTAACACCCTCACCGCCGGTGCAAGTCCAAGAGAGACGCCTTTCCGAAGTAAAAGGCAAGAGCAAGAGCAGATCATCCCGATGCCGGTTTTAGTCCTCCGTGCTTGGTAACTGAGAGCCTGGCTTCCCCAGTAGGAAGGAGCAGGTTCCTGCCATTGAGGGGTCAGTGAGGGGAGCAGGTGGTTAGGGGTCAGCCAGCAAGGATGAGGAGAGCCGCCTTTGAGTCACGGCAGGAAGGAATTAGAGCAGCAGGGTGACTCCTGGGCCTCAGTGTCCTGACCCAGCCAACGGAGACACCAGGACTCGCCAGGTTCACGCCAACCACCAGGTTGCCATGAGGATCCGAAGAAAAAAATGGCCACGAGAATCCATCATAATCTGCAAAGCCCTACGTGACATAAATTATGGCTGTTGCCAGACAAATAATTCTTTTTTGTTCCTTCTGCAAAGAACAGATTGTCAATAGGAACTCTGTTTCCCAGCCACTTGCTTGCAGGGTCCCCAAAGACCGCCCACAACAAAAGTCCACATTTTGGTCTACTGCACTGAAGAAATATCCCAAAGGCACCGGAGAACACCATACTCCTCGTTGCTTCCTGTGGGGCATCACAGAGGGCTGCCTCCCCTGTGGATTAGATCCTCCCTCCACCACGAGGGTGCAGCTGCCGCCATCGCCACTGGGGAGTTTCCACAGCTCTCTGGAAAGCCAGGAGGCGGAGAGGCAGGGTGGGTCACCATCCATCACCTGCACACGCAGGCCCTGCCCACTGTCTCACTCTCCCCCTTTATTTCACAAAATAAAATCCCAGGGCCTTCAAACATTAGGAGTGCCAACTATCACCAGGGTTGTGGAGAGAAGGGATAAAGGGAGGGGAGGGCTGGAACAAGGAGTACCAGAAAACTCAGCTCCCGATGGTTTTTTTGTCTCACTTAAAGGAAGGACAACGAACTGCGGTCCTAATTTGCGTCTGACCACCAAGGGTCACAGAGTCTTCTCAGTTATGCTGGGATGTATGGTCACAGCATCATTCTGTCATGGACACGGCAGGCACAAGTCGCTGTTTCTCTGACCAGTGGCCCCTGGTGGCCCCCACATGCTTCATGGCACTAGAAGACCCGGGCTCCACAGCAACTTCTGAGGCCCTCAAAAAGGAACCGCTGGCCAGAAATGGACTCTTCCCACCTGTCTCATCCCTTCAATCTTTGGAAAATATTTCCTGAGCACCTGCTATGGGCCAGGCCCTGTGCAGAGCCCACTGGGGACGTGAAGATGAGCCCAGAATGATGTCTTCTGCAGACACACTCAGGAGGTGGGGAAGGGAAGCAGAGCACATAGGTCACCCCGCCTTCTTTCTTCCAGCCCTTCCCCACACGCATGCCTCCCTCTACCTCCACGGGCATGCGCATGCCCACGTGTCCCCTTCCAAGAGAACCCCACAGTTGAGTCCTCCGTGCCTGTGTTGTCAACACACAGCTCCTCGGTCTCAGTCTTCCCCAGGATAGCTCTGAGCCTGGTGATGCTGGCAGGTCACCTGAAAAGGTAGAGCTGTCACAGTACACGCTCAGTCCAGACAAGGAGGGCTGGGCAATGACTACAAAGACAGAGCCTCTGCTGGCCAGGCCTACCAGCCCATGGCAAAACAGCCAAGTGTATCTTTCAGGTCTCCCTTGGGCAACCCCTTCTTCCCCCGGAGCACCCCACCCTTGGACACACAGGCTTCCCAATCGCTCCAGCCCTCATGGGCTACTTGCCTCACACCCGCACCCCCTTGCTTCCGGGGCTGTCTCTGGTGGACACCGTTAGGCAGAGGGCCCTGCTGACAGGACCAACAAGGCCACGAATAGTAAATAAATAAACAAATGAGCTAATAAAGCACATACCCATGCCCACATTGTTTTGTTAGATTCTCACTACAAGCCCTTAAGGCAAATATTATCAGGTACCCCCATTATACAGATGAGGAGTCCGTCAGATCTACACGGATGAGGGCTCAGAAGGGCTCCTTGTCTTCTCAGAGGTCACACAGCTAAGGCCAGGCCAGCCTGTCTCCACAGGCAGGTGATTAGCAAGATGTTAGCTGCCGAGACCCAAGGAGCTCATCTCCCAAGCTTTTTGTTTCTGGCTGGGAGATGCTGCATTTTAAAAGTGAACTCCTCCAGGCGAGAAGCCATGCGCACATCCTGAGATGGGGGGGATGAGGTTGTTAGCGCTGGGTCTGGGCTGCATGAAAGCTTCTGTGACCTCTTAGGGGCCTTGCACACAGTGAATCCTCAGCAAATACAATTTGGTTGATAAAAAAGAAAGGGAGGGGTGCATTAGAAACAATGCACTTGCGGTCTTCCACTTCTTCGTTGCTAAAGGAAAGGTCAAAAAAGGAAAAACTAACCCTCTTTTGTCCTGCTCCTCTCCAGGGGCTTAGCCGCCAGCATCATCTTCCAAACCCCATCCCCTCTCCAAAGGTTTCCTGTGGCCATGGAACAACAGTGAAATCAATTCTTAATTAGCTTTCAAAGTTTACCTTTTGAAAATCTGTATATATGAATATTTATTAAACACTTACTAGGTGCAAGACATTTGTGCCAGCCCCTAGAGATAGAAAGGGGGCATCGGGAGAAGCGTGCAACAGGGGGATGCTTGCAGCCGCCAGGCATGCCTAATCTAGGGACAACCTTTCATACTTAACTGGAGGAGGAAGGAAGAAAAGTCTCCGCAGAAGTCAAAACACAGAAGGGGCTGACAGTCACAAAAAGCACTAAAGAATGTGAGGAGCTGTTGTTGGGTTAATTTTTCTTTTTTGAAGCGAGAAGAACAAGGAGAGAATCAACCCATGGCTCAAAATAGACTGGGGAGTTCACAAGTGGCAGTGAGATGCCAGGAACGATTTGTTTCTATGTGTTTAGCACCAAAATGCAAAGGATCTCAAACTGGAAGCCACGAACAGAGGACAGAGAGGGGAGACAGGGAAATGGACAAGACGCATATTGCTTCAGTGAGCTCAGATCTCCCCAGGCTCAGACAAAACACCCCCTTGGGTGCAGCAGGAGTTTACACAGAGGGTCTCAGAGCTGCGGTTAGAAATTTCCAAGAATCACGGGCAGGTGAGAAGCTCTAGAGGAACACAGGTGCCTATTTTATCCCTGTTTTCGGAGCACGTTAGATTCTGGATGTGGAAATTAATATGCTCTTATCAAAGGAAGTGGTCATCTGAGAACACTGGCTTTCTCAGAGCAAATTCCCCTTACACTTAAGGCTTACCCTAGCTAGATGTGAGAGGGGGTGGAAATTAGGTTGGAAATCAGAGCACTGCCATCACCATGGCCTGTGTTGATTACCATAATAAACTCTTTGACACAATGTCCCAAGATTATTTCATGGATCAAATAGTTCACATGAGCAGAGGGATAATACTTTGGGGGAAAAATCATAAGCAAGGTTCCAAGTTGCATGACTAACGGTATAGCAGCCATCTGCTGGTTGTCTCTAATGGTCTCCCCAGGTCTCTAGTCTCCGTTATACTCTCCCTGGTGACACGGCTAAAGATTTAGAGGACAGGCTTAGCGAGTGAGCAGATGACGCGAGTCTAGGAGGGACAGCTAATGCCCGCAGATTACAGAACTGAGATTCAAAATGTTTTCATTGGAAGGACCAAATCAGACAAATGAAAGTTTCGAAAGATAAATAGCTAACACCTCGTTCACAGATGTACAGGAGAGATTAGACAGGAAAGGCCTCCCACGTGAAAAACATCTAGGAATGTTTGTTACTAACGAGTCTTTTTTAGACACTGGGGAGACCCATTTTAGCAAGAAATTCACAGGAATATAGATCACGTGGTGTCCAGATCGAGAGAAACAACAACTCTGTTGTCTCCAGATCATCTGGAGTCTTACACTTGTTTCCAGGGCAAGAATTAAAGGAAATATTGCCTCCAGAATGGGAGGAGAGTGGAGGCAGATGGAGACTTTCCTTTGTGGAGCAGTTGAAATAATGGACATGTGGCCTGGAGAAGAGACCGATGATTCCAGGTGGCCTGGCAAGGCAGAAGCAGGATCACCCCATCCTAGGAGGGCAGCCGCCTAGACGGTGCCCTGTGATCCCCATCTCCTGGGTCATCTTTCTCACCCTGAGCCAAAGATTTAAATTGGGGACGCTTTGTTGGCTCAGTCGGTTATGCGCCTGCCTTTGGCTCAGTACATGATCCCAGAATCCTGGCATCGAGTCCCACATCAGCACGTAGTCTGCTTCTCCCTCCCCTCCCCCGACTCATGCTTGCTCTCT